CCATAACTTCGTTCAGAGAATCGTTTGGCAGATTTTGAATGCAGATTTGAAATAAGCGTCAAAAAATACGCCTAGCGGTATGGGTCCCATTTCAAATGGCCACTTCGACTTGGGATCCTTCCCTTGTTAGACTAGCGCTGCCCAAGTTCCCGCGTGCAATGTAGAGATTCCCACTTTCAGTGTACTATCGATTGTGTTCTAGCTTTTCCGGTTCTTCGGAACCTTTACTTTTAAATCCGAGTTTCCTTCTACACCTCTCTTTTTTGGTTCTTCGAAGCTTTTACACCTCAGGTCAGCACCGTGCTTGGGTGCTCGACTGCTTGTTCAATATTCGAGCTCACAATTCATTAGGTTTTTTCTCTTTTATGCGAAGCAAAATATGGTCTGCTGACCTACGATATGCAACACTGTGGACTGACCCTGTTTCTTAACCGTTTCCGCATTATGCGTCCCTTCCCCCTCCCCCTAAACGAATCATCTCATCGATATTCGATTTTCTCTTCAGAAAAGTAAAGAAAGCCGAAACATCGTATTTCAGGAGAAGATGGACTAGATACGGATGTTCCGACCGATCTTGAAGCCTACCTCTTCACGACACCTGCTCGAAAATTCATCTGGTTGCTCTTTCAGCCGCTATTCTATGCATTTCGTCCGTTGATTATCTACAAAAAAGCCCCGTCTGATCTTGAACTCATCAATGCGATCATACAGGTAGTACCCCTACCCGTCTGTCCTGACTTCAACCATATCCCATCTTAACCTTTACACTCAGATTGCTTTCGACCTGTTCATACTACAAACCTTCGGCATGCGATCTCTCTTGTATCTCATTCTGGGCACTCTTGTCGCGATGGGAGTTCACCCGAGCGCAGGGCACTTCATCTCCGAACATTACGTTTTCAAGGAGATGCAGGAGACTTATAGGTGAAGAACTTCGGGTTCCTTTACTGTATTCCTCACCAATGTTGGAAACTCTTTAGTTATTATGGTCCTTGGAATTTGTGCACGTTCAATGTCGGCTATCACGTGGAACACCATGATTTTCCGTACATTCCTGGAAGGAATCTTCCTGAGGTTGGTGGAGTCGGCGGTGAATTTCCCAATGCACGTTGAAGCGCAACTCGTTGCAGGTTCGAAAAATTGCTCCTGAGTTCTACAACAACCTTATGACACACTCCTCATGGACAAAAGTACTGTGGGACTTCGTATTCTCACCTAATATGGGGCCCTTCATGCGTTTGAAAAGAAAAGCTCGTGTACCGCAGAATTTTGAAACCAGACACGCTTTGCTTGAATACTACCAGGCGGTAAGTGTTTCCTTTCTGTTCGGAAAGATTTTATCTTGGACCAATGGGAATTCTTCACCGCTCTGGCCGAAACATTTCGAATGGCACAAACGACACTCAGCTACAAAGATTTCATCAAATGTTATTTTACAATTGGCTCTTTGCAATTAAAAAGGTTTTCAAATCACGCTCTCAGATATCACCATGTTAAGCTTCTGAGTCATATTAAAATAGTATCAAGAATCGAATTTGTGAGATGAAAATCAAAATTTGACATTTTGCTCCGATCTAAATATCCTACTATATATTATTCGCTAAGTGTAACTGTTGATTTGTCGGTGTGCGTGTATGTGTGTATGTGTATGTGTATGTATGTATTATATGTATGTATGTGTGTGTGTGTGGGTGTGTGTGTGTCGAAGTGTGTGCGTTTGACAGAAAATTTATAGCTGCTTCCCGCGGATCTAGAGGCTTGAAATTTGGCAGGAGTACAGCGGTAGGATGGGAACACTCATGGCAGGAAGCTGGACTGGACTACTCCTACAGGGGACGGGGCGTGCGCGGCAGAAATTTTCAACAGCAAATTCGTTACTTCTTTTCAAGTTTACCTAGAGCGTTGAAATTTGGTAGTAGTACAGGAGGCAGGATGGAAACAATCATGGAAAGTAGGACTGGATTTCACCTATAGAGGCGGGACGTGCGCGATAGAAATTTTGACTGCAAGTTCATAACTCCTGTCCAAGTTAACCTAGAGCGTTGAAATTTTGTAGATAGGAGTACAGGCGGCAGAATAGGAACACTGATGATGTGTCATAGCAGGTGATAACAGTTGAAAGGAAGTGATAAAGAGCTTTAGAAGGCAAGAGCCACAGGAACTGTATCTCTTTCGTGTCGAAGGTAGAGCCTTGGTACTTCAGTAAGGGATGCGGATTAAAACCGGACCGTGTTCTGTGATAAAGGTTGCTAACAACTGTTAGAGACTGATAACGAACCATAGAAGACGAGAGCCATCAGGTCTACAACGTCTTCCATATTGACAATGGAGCACTTTAGTAGGTAGTGTGGGATGTGAAAGGAATGAAGTTGATTGGTGACAAGGAGCGATAACAGGCGAGCAAGCATTGACGAAGAGCCTAGAAAGCTAGGGACGCTACGTTTGTAATCCCTTTTGTGTTAACAAAAAAACCTTGACATTTTAATAGGTGACGTAGGATGTAACGTGGTCATAAGTACTATGACAGGAGCTGATAACACCTGATAAGATCTGATAAGGAGTCTTAGAGCCACTTACCAATTACATCTTAGCGGCTTTGGTATTCACAACCCCTGCCCTGTTAGTCTTGTGCCAAACTTCGTGTACAGGAAAATATTATTTCTTTCAAAGAATGAGTGGAGAGTTAACCGATTACTACAACTTTGTTAAAAAAGGTGGGAAGCCCGGCCTTAGCCGGACGAAGCGACTGGTAACAGTATAATGAAACAATTCTGAGCAGGACTTTCTCTCTTTTGTTTCCCCATATGTAGAATCCTTCGTTTCTATGAGTCGTTTCAGCTGAGTCGACATACTGGGTTTGAGGAATTGACGCGATATGCAAGACAATGGTTGGATGTGAATAATAATAAGAAGAATTATGAATGATTTCTTGTATGAAGAGTAATTCCTTGGTCGATCAATGGCACGAATAGCAACACTACAACTCGTCAAAAATCACAACAAGGTCAAAACTCTTACAAATTTGAAACGACAGGCGCAGTCGCCTGCTTATTGTCAACTTACCACTCCTGTCAATCGAATTATCAGCTAGTTATTAACGAACTTGCCAGTTTGAATGAAAGAAAGCGTAGTCCGCATAACTTATCAAATAAAAGCTATACCTTGGGTCTCTCACGAGAGGAAGATACGCTAGACTACTCCAGCTCGCAAAAGGGACGAATGGAGACTTTGCTTACGCTCGCTCAAGGAAATCGATGATCAACGGATGATACAGGTGATTTAATAAGTGTGGTGTTTTCTTCTATCATTCTAATTGCGTTCAACATGGAACGAATGCTTCCCAGACTTGATAACTTTTTGTTTTCCCATCTCAGCCACTCTTTTACTTGCTTCAAATGTCCCGAAAGCAAATCACCGAAAGATCAACCTTGTGAAATACAGTACAGGACACAGAGAATGATTTCAAAGCATCTCTGATATCTCTGATATTTATCAATACGACCACATACACAAAACGCCGTTTGCTTTATTGTGAAGACATCCGCTTTATTTAGAAGAAAAATCCTGCGGTTACTCGAGTCAAAAGGAGAGTGTCTAAAAAGTGTCGAGCCTGACCGTTCATGAATGTTAGCAAACACGGAGTGTGCGAAACTCCAGCTTTTAGCATGCGGTGGTTATCTCACCTACAGCGCTCCCATCCTTTCAAGACCCAGTCAAAAAGCTAAATCCTTAAGGCTAAAATTGCACAGACGGCCGGTGCCTATTCTCCTCTTCGCCACTTTTACAGTGCAGATATAACACGGTTTAACGCGTAGTACCGTGTTAATTTCTATTCCCACAATTCGAATCTTAACTCACCAGGGTTTCGCCGCTTGAGCGGATATAAAACCCGCTGTCGCCACAGGCAACTGTCAGGAAGGTCCTCCCTGTTACAAATATAAGGGATACAGCACAAGAAGTCTAATCCGCTACTAACAGTCGACTATGGCGGCAGCGGGTTTTGTATTCGCTTGAGCGATGGAACCCTAGAGAGTCAAGATTCGAATTGTGGGTTTGATTTTGTCTTCACATTCGCCAAAGGGGGTGATGCGCTTTTTGGATACTGTGCGAATCATCTCGAGTTGCTTCAGGCTTCTGAAGAAGACAATAGCGACGAAACGTTAGGCCGTTGTGTTGATATTGTTCCACCTAATAACCTCGCACGGCACGAGAATATTTTTGATTATAAATACTTGTAAAGCTTAGATTTTTTCTCGAATTCCAGAACAGGCGATAATTTCTTCGAGTCCAATCTGAGGTACATTACAAATGTCATTTGTTCAATTCTGAAAAAGTAAAATGCAACTTTATGAAAACTTTATCTGTATGCACAACTACAAATGAGGTAAAGTGATTGAAATGTTGGGATACTCGTAACTATCATGCGATATTCTTATTTGGGAAAACCTTGAACTGTACAAGAGTGTACTTCATTTTGCCGCTTGAGCCCAACCACGAGCCCTACCGACGGCATCTCTCCATCGTTCTATGTCGGCTGCTCTTCGATCTTCGTCCGAATGGGGCATGTAGGTGGTCGTCTGTAAAAGGGAAATAGTATTGTCACAAATCGAAGCACTTCAACAATTCATACCGGTGGCTCTCGAGCAGAAAACTCGTCGAGGCTGATTTCTTGCACTCCGATACCGCCCGCAACGGCCGCTCCCCAACCAGAGATTTCAGTGATCTTGGGAGTTTTGATCACTTTTCCAATGATTTCAGCTTGAATCTCATTAAACAGCACGTTTGCTGTCATACCGCCGTCAGTCTGGAGTAGACAATAACCATTTACATAAAACGTGTGATGTTTCGTAGTGAATGTGGTAAGCTATTTTTGATAACGAAATTAATGATTTATTCCGCGCAAGGGAATCTACGTAAAAGGCGACGGAGGGTATCTTGTGACTGCACATAAAATCTCTACCGTATTCATGCTAGCTGCTTCGTTTGCGAAGGGCGTGTAAACACGGGTGCGCAGAACTGTCTCAAAAAATCGACGACAGAAATCAAAACAAATTGTTGGCGCCCCTTTAAGGCTGATATCCTTATTCGACTGTAATTTTGTTTTTAGCTCGAATCTGCGCCCGATTCAACTTCGATCTTACGGCCAACAGTTAGTGATATATAGCAGTTTGTTCTGAACATCAACAGAAAAACTGGGGTAATCCCTTCTAACATCACCTATAGGATGGTTCTACTTCTCCAGATTTTCAACGATCATGTTAATTTTCCCTCCGTTGATAATTTGTTCTATACAATGCCCTCAGCTACACCTATTACCTTAAGGGTTTTAACCAAATCGCTATCCTCGAGATCTTGCTCCACAGCTTTGATCATCTCGGCGCTTTGGTAAGCAACAGCTCGAAGGGCAGCGAGGCAGACGTGAGCGCGATTCGTCACCTGAATTTTCGTCTACATAGAATAGATCTTCAGTGGAGGTAAGTTGGCTACCTGTGTAAGTCCAAGAATTGTCCCTCGTGCGGTTGGATCCCAGTACGGAGTGTAGAGACCGGTGAAACATGGCACAAAAATGACTCCTTCTGTATTCTCCACTGATCGACATATCGGTTCCATCTCCGCTGCACTCTGGAAAAAAGAGAAAGGGAGTTGTGCTTTGAAAACCATGGAGAGCCGAACCAACATTGATGAAGTTGAAGTTGTCGCGTAGAAACCGGACAACATTTCCACCTATAGAGCCTGAACCTTCCAAAGCAAATACGACTGGTGAATCGGGACCAAACTGCAGAAGAAAAATATTACTAATCAGTAGAGGTACCACAACTCAAAAAAATTGCTATGCTCTATGTATAGTAAAATTAAGAAAGCGGCTACAAACCTGAAAACCGACTGTGGTCAAGAGGCCATTCTTGCTTATTATGACTTCCGTACCTGCAAATTGTCATCATTCCAAATATGCCCCTCACGAACTAGTCATCGAGAACGAAGTGAGCTCTTTTACATTTCATCCATCTCTATGGGGGTACGATACCTTCACTTCGATGGTGAGGGTTGCCAGAGTATAGGGAGGTTGCAGAGTGGGGGAAAAGGGGAAATTGGGTATACACTTATCCACTAGAAGATGGGTAAGCTGGCGATTTAGCTAGTCCTTGAATCCCTAAACACGCACTAAAACAGGACGAATCGCAGTACTCCCTTGAGCAACAAGTGAGGTGGGAATAAAGGCGAGAATCGCGTTCAAGACACGCACTGTGTAAAGTATTCATCAAGTTACTGACGCTGTTAGCTCAAAAATCGCTGTTGATAGAATATTTTGACGGAGTCCGCCGATGCTATCAAATTTTGAGCGGATTTGAGGAACTCAGACTTACCAATATTGGTCAACATGAACGTTCCCGTTCCATAGGTGTTTTTCGTGTCTCCTTTTCCCAAACAATTATGGCCAACCATTGCAGCCTGCTGATCACCCAAGCAACCAGCAATCGGAAAACCTTTCAAAGGGCCTGAAAATGTCAATAAAGTGGAGATCTCGTTTATAGCACTCCTGAAACAAGTGATAATGTTCGATTATACCTTCAGTGATAGCACCGTAAACCTCAGCACTCGATTTGACTGTCGGCAGAATATCATATGGAACTTCGAAGAAGTTGCAAAGTTCGGAGGACCACTTCCGCTTCCGCAGATCTTAAAAAGAAGATTTTGAGAAATTGCAAGTCTGCTTTCAATGTAACTCGAACTTTGAATAATTACCTAGTAAAAGAGTTCTGGAGGCGTTCGACACATCGGTGACGTGCTCTCCCGTCAAATTCCAGATGAGCCATGTATCGACAGTCCCAAAGAGCAATCGACCTTGAAAGGGATATTTTAATATTTTTTT